CTTCTACTTGGTCCTCGAGGAGACCTTTCTGGGGGGTTATTTGACAGGTAACTATCAAAAATCTTTGTCATAATAGAAGCAGCCTCTGGTCGGTCTATTGTATTTCTCAGAATTCATCTTAAGGAAATAATTAGACAAACTCACAAAAGATGTTCATTATAGCAATGTTTATTGGTGAACTGAATACCTATAATAGAGAACTGACCACGTTACATCAAAGTACATCTATGCAATAAAATAAAATATTAAGAAAAAACCCACAACCCTCTTGCTATTGTATACTTCTGCTATATGAAAATATAATATTTGCAAATAAAAAGCAAGTAACAAAAGTCTGATTTTGTAAATGGGGAGGCAGAGAAAAAATATATATATATTCTAAACATGCTTTGCTGTGTTGTCTACAATGACTTGATAATGTCTCACAGATTAAGCAGTTTTCACTTGGGGAAATGAAGTTTCCTGGGGGGTCCTCCAGAAAGTCTCCCCTTGTCCTCTCCCGGTACACTCGTCAGGTCAGTGTCCCCATTTGGTCCAGGAGCTTTCTAAAGGCGCCCGCGGCTGACTTCGTTGGATCCACTGAGCCCGCATCCTGAGCGATCGCCTGTGGGCTAGAACGAATGAATGAAATGACGCTCCCTTCTGCATTCGCGAAAAGCAGCAAAGAACTAAGGGGAATCACACCGAAGCGCCCCGGGTTTCTCCAACGAGGCGAGAGCTGAAGGTGAGAAAGCGCGGCGTGCGGGACCCATTCCCGCGTCCTCTGCGCTTAGCAGCACTGTGGCCCCGGGGCCGGGCCCCGCGACCGGCTGGGCCGCGGTCCGGTCCGCTCGTCTCATGCGGGAGCGTTGCACCTTCTCCCCAAGCCAGCTCACCCAGCACCCCGGCACCTCGGCTGCGTGTAGCAGAGTGGCGCGTGGGACCCAAGGGCGACTCAGAAAGCGAGGCGAATAGTGGGACGCTCATCCCCGTGGCAGAGGCGCCCCAAAAGAACGTTTCGGAACGGGAAAGCCTGGGCCACGGCGCTGCCTCTCCCGCACGCGCCCCGCGGGCGCCGGATTCCATCCCACCGAGTGTAGGGGTGCGGCTCCGCGTGGGTTTTCGGGCTGCCAGGCTTTCGCGAGTCCCACTCGGGCCACAGCTCGCTCCGCCAGCGTCCCGTGGAGGGTCGGAAACAGAGTGAGCACCCCCAGGCCCCGGGGAGCCGAACGCCTGGAAGCGATTTGGACTTGGGTGAGTCCTTCAGGACGCCAGACCTGCGACTGAATTCTGCGGGCCCCCTACTCGGTGTGAGTTGCCGGGCGTCCCCTCGCCACTCTGTTTTCTCACCTGTCAAGTGGGATCACAGGGCTCGCCTCCTAGAGGTGGAGCGACTGAGGCACAGCGGGGGGATCATGGGGCGCTGGGACCCGCTCAGGGAGCGCGACTAGCGCAGTACCCCGAGGCGGGGTGGGGGATGAGGGGGAGGGAGGGAGGGTCTGGCCCTAAACTGTGCGCGGGGGGCGGGGGGGGGGGGCTGGCCTTAGACTACCAGAGCCTCGGGTTGGAGTCCAGCAAGGGGCCGTCGCCTCGGGTTGGGGTGCGGGCGGGCTCGCATCCTAGGCTGCTTCTTCCTGCGACCGCCGCTGAGTCCCAGCTAACGTGGCTCGTGAGCTGTTCCGGTGGAAAATGTTGTCGTTGTGTGTCTGTGTGTGTACAGGTGTGTGTCTCTCTCTATGCGCGTGTTCATGCGTACAGGAGCGTTTGGGGGTGTGCAGGGTAGGGGGAAACCTCGGGGGGGGGGGCAACCCGTGTAGACTCCAGCTCCCAAAGGCCTTTCCCTTCTCCCCCCACCCCCATCCCCCAGGTTTCTTCCAGGGAGACGAGTTTCAGCCAAACTAACGGAATCTGGCTCGGTCAGGGGAGGGGTGAGGCGGGAGGGGCGATTCCGTCCCAGAGCCACTGGTTTGGGGATAATTACTTTTAATGTCAGAAAGATTTAGTTTAATATCATCTCTATTAGGCTGCCGGGAGGGTAATTAAACGGGATGCGCCTCAGCCGGCAAACAGATGGCGTCTGCTTGCTCCGAAGCTGCGGGCAAATAGCGCAAAAGTCAGTGCCTCTCGGGTCCCCCAGCAGCGCCCCCAACCCAGCTACCACTCAGCGCTGCCGCCTGTGCCTCCAGCCCCCAACCTCTGAATCACCGTAGGACTCCACCAGGCCCCACCCAGTGAACCCCGCCAATGCCCTGCCAGGAGCTGAGGGATGAAGCCCAACTGAGAATGCGAAGGGAGATGATACACCTCTGGATTTGGAGGCTGAGCCCATTTTCAATGTCCTCAGCTCCATACCCACCTCACTGTGGAGGCGGCAGCACATGATTCTGAGTGCAGAGGGCACACGGGACCAGTGCGTGTGTGTGTGTGTGTGTGGACAGACTTCATCCCTCACCAACCTCACTTGTCTCAACTGTACAGCTTTACCTGCTTTGGGGGTTGTGCCTGCAGGTTCCCCAGAGTTGAGTTGGGGTGGGGGGCACAGTGTGAAATGTGTCCCCTCATCTGGGTTTGTAGTCTCCACTCCCTGAGACTGGAACTCTAGTGTGGGGCCAACCAAAAAATGCCCCCCACACCCCCGGGATGCGACTTGTTTGGGAGAATGCTGGTAGAACAATGGAAGTTTCTGGGGCTCTCCTGGGTATGGGGGGGAGTGTAGCAGGAGAAGGGGTTCCCTATGAGCAGGATTTGGAGGCAGGTGTGAAGGTATATCCCAAACTTTTATGAAACGTGGCAAAAGTGGCAAACGTGTGTGGACAAGTGTGAAACCACATTCAAGGTTGTCCAAGGGGCAGCCCTGTGTTTCACACTGGGTCAGCTCTCCCTCCATGCCACCTGCTTCCCCTTCACAGTGCCACCAAATCAGCCGGATTACCCCTCTGGAGCCTGCAAGGGTCTGAGGCACAGGGACCCTGGCCCAGGAGGGTTAATTTGCCTCTCCCCACCCCACATCATATCATGTTTCACTTTCATGAGCACCCTGATCTGTATGGGGTTGGGAAGAAAGGTTGTGGGTTCGGGACCTGTTGGGCTGTGAACAATGAGGAAAGAAGAGAGAGGAACATTGGGCAGAATTCCAGGACGTGCCCTCTCTCCAACCTTGGGAAAAAAGGTCCTTGCCATACTAACTGGAGGTGTCAAAAAGGGGCATCTGGGCCGTGGGTCTCAAAGCCAGGGAAGCTTCTGTATCTTATTTCGATGTAGGCTCAAAGCAATTTCTTTAAAACTTTGTTGGAGAGAGCTCTGGGAGGAGGTGGCTGCCTGGTGCTTGCTGGCTGTACTCCACCCCAAACCCCCACCCCCTGGCCCAGGGTCTAGTGAACGCACAGACTGCCTCAACGAAAGAAAGGAGTGAGGAGGTGGGGCTGGGGCCCTCAGCTGCCACAGGACAGACAACCCCAGAGGCTCCCCCCAACCCTCACCCACGCTGAATATTGCGCCCCCTGCCCTCCTCCCCAGAAGCCTACCTCCTTGCTCCCTAAAACCTTCTCAGGCTCTGGCACTAGCTCAACAAGCGCCCTGTCTCCCGCAAGTCGCACAGGCGTCCCTCAAGTTTTCTGCACGTTCCGCGGGGTCCCGGGCACCCAACCCTCCTTCCTCGGTTCTCCCGCCCCTCTCCATCTGCTGCTGGGGTAACTCCTTCCGGGGGAGCGCCCCGGAGCAGAGGTTTTGCTCGCTGAGGTGGGTCCCCGCGGGCCGCGCCTACACCCTCAACGCTCTGCTCAACTTTGCAGCAGCAACCGAGCAGGCAAAACTCAAGGCCCCACCGCCACGTCAGGCGCAGGATCTGCGGGCGGAGACCCTGGGTCCCTTCTGCACGCCCAGAACATCCTCGCCCCCGACGGCGCGGGTCCCACGTCTTTGGCTCTGTAGAGAAACGCAGCAACGCTTGGCCGTCGGGACGGAAGGACCGACGACGGGAAAGCGCGTTTCTCTAATTAATTAAATGTAAAGCCTATACTCTGAAAGCTGGCGAGCAATGCCAAGCTAAAATGAGCGGGAAAACTCACTAGAAGTTAGAAAAGACGGGGAGGGCAGAGAGTGGCGGAGCTAGAGAGAGCCGAGTGATGCCATTCACCATGGAAGCGCGGGACCTGTTACCTCTCTGCGGGCCGCTGCTCCTCCACCGTGACGTCAGGACGGAGAGCCGGGCGAAAGTTAAAGCCGCTCCTGGGGGCCCGTGGCGACCTTGTCTCCAAGCCGGAAGGACAAGCAGACGGGCGCGCGTCCTGCCTGCAAGGGCATCTGGAGAAACAGAGAGGCCAATTTTGACTTCGTTTCAAAAAGAAACGCAAACTGTTCGTTTAAAACGCCCACAACTAGAAAGAATCCCATCTCCAGGGCGGAAAACCCGAGACAGTCGAGAAACGAGAAAAGGAAAGAGCTAGGAGTGGAGGGGAGCGGTTGGGGAGAGGGGGGCAAGGAGCGGGAAGGCGCAGAACTGGGGGAGCGCAGCGGGTGCCGGCTGCAAGCGCAATCTCATTTTTCTCCCGTGGGCTCCTCTTTACAAATGAAAATCCTTGGTGACCACACTCACCCTCCGGAATAACTTAGCGTATCAAAACTTTTTAAATAAAGGATCTAGTCTTTAAAGGAGGCAGCGGGGGAAGCCCAAACAATAGTCTCCCACTATCCCAGATGTGTGGGACGTGGAAGCACCAGGAAAGCGAGTCGGGAAAAGGCAGGAAAATCCTCTTGGCATTTATGCCATGAACACCCTCCCTTCCCCAACCCGCGCCCCTATTCCACCCCCACCCCTACGGCGGTAATTGAATTGTCACCTGCCCCAACCCGCCCCCAGCCGCCTGGGCCACTTGGGAAGCTCGGCCTTGCCAAGTGCCCCCCGGCCTGTGAGCGCCGCGCAGCCTCTTCCGCGCCCCAGAAGCCGAGGGGTTACACTCGTCTACGCAGAGGCGCACCGGACACAGTAATTAGGCGCAATTCACACGCTCTCGGGCGCACGGAAACGACTTGTCACGATATTTGCAACGCTCCTCCTAGCCCACTTTTTCCCCACTTCTTCCTCGGCGCGCCCCCTCCCCTCCCCGAGGCACTCGGCGGAGCTTTTGGAGTTTCGAATCTTTCGGACACTGTAGAATGCGGGGCTCCCCGGGCGCGGGCCCGGCCAATCAGAGTGGCGTCTGCCTCCCCTGGCCAATGGCAGGCGCCACATTGTTGTCCAATTCTGTCTAATGGAGCCCTAAGGAGCAACAATAGAGCGGGCGAGCAGCTCATTGAGAGTGTGGCAGCGCCGGGCAACTGGGGCCCGGCTGTGCGCAGCGGCCGGCGCGCTCCGGCGAGGGGACGCGGCGCGGCGAGGGCCGGGGCGCAACTTGCAGCCAGCCGGTCCCCGCGCGGCCCCCGCCTCCGGGTCTCGACGGAGGGGCTGGACTGCGCGGCGTTCCGAAGGGTCCGGAAGTTCGGACATGGTGACTGAAGGAGGGTGACGTGGTCAGACCAGCGGCCAGGGGTCGAGGGGAAGAGGCCGAGAGCGCCGGCGTCGCGCGCGGAGCTGGGAGGCGCGTGCAGCGTCAGCGGAGGAGGAGGCTCCCCAAACCCCAGGCAGGTAATGGAGGTCCTGAGGTGGTGGGGGTGCAGGGGAGGCTGCCGGGCCTGCGGGCCCTGTGGATCGGGCCCTGGCCGCGCCGGCCTCAGGGGCTGAGTGGCCCCGAGGGGTCTGAGAGAAGTTCGCGCAGCGCGCGTCGGAAGTGGGCCTGGATTTCGGGGGGCGGAGACACAAGAATCGGGGCCCGGGGCCCGCGAGGGGACCCAGGGGCCTGGAGGAGGCCGTGGCGGAAGCTCGGGATCCGGCCTTACTCGGGCCTTCTGGGGCCGCGGCACGCAGGTGGGACTCCCGTGTACGCTCGGAGCCGATTTCGGAGGCGGCTGCCCCGTCGCGGCGCTGCGGGCAGGACCCCCGAGGACGAGGAATCCAAGTCTGGGACGGGAGCGCGGGGATCTGCGCCTCCGTGCCCCCCCCCCCACCGGATCCGGGGAGGGCGTGTCTGACGACACTGACCCTAACCCCGTGGGGGGGGGAGGGCGGGCAGGGGGAGGTGGGGATCAGGCTCCCTCCTGCTGCACAGAACTTGTCGCGAGATACTCCCGGGTTTCGGGCCAAACACTGTGCGGCAGGTTTTGCTCCTTCTCACTTCCTCTTTGCTTGGTTTTATTTTTTTCTCACGCAAGCCCCTCATCCCGGCGTGCACCCTGCAGCCCAGACACTGGATTTCGCTCTTTTCCTTGGCCCCGTGACCTAAACTTTGTGTTGGGGTTGCCTCACCCTAGAAAGTTTCTTGCCCTGTATTTCCTCTTCACTCCTGCCCAGGCCTCCAAACCTCAGCGTCTCGCCCATTTTCTCTCCCATACCCTGGAGGCCTGCAGCATGGAACTTGCCATCCCTTTTCCGCACCTCTTTCTGGGTCCCTGGCCCCACCTTTGCCTCGGAATTGTTTCCAAGCCCTCCTCACTCTGCTTCCGAAAGCGCTTCTATTTACCTAGCTGATTTTTCTCCCAAACTCTTCTCGGTCCTCAGACTCAGCCCGGTGAGCTCTGCCCACCCGCCAGTCTCTCCCCGCCTCTCGCGCTGTCACGAACCTAACATTCCGCCCTGGTTTTTTTTTTTTTGTTGTTGTTGTTGTTTGGTTTGGTTTTGTTTTTACCTTGCCCTGGGCTGTTGGGGTCAGAGTTTTTCTGTAGCCCAATTCCCATCAAACGAACATCTGTCTCAACTCGTCTCATCCCAATTAAGCTAAACTTTGGAATTCTTTATTTTTTTTTAACCTTCCTTTTCCTTCCGACCCGGTGACTTTAATGTTTTTGTCTTTTTCCCCCCTAGCGGAGCCACTGATTCAAACGAAATCTCACCCTCGGCACATACATCAGATCTGGGAAGAGGAGCTCCGGGGGGCGTGGGGAGGAGCTAGTTCTTCCGAGGGGTTCGGGAGGCGCCTTCTCCCAGCCGTTTGGCCACTACCAGCTTCGCTGCGGCTGCTGCACTTGCTCCCCCCGAGTCTGGGTCCCCCACTACACCCCCCAGACTGGGTTCCTCCCGGGAGCGCACCCCTCCCGATCAGTCTCTGCCCCTTCTCGCGTCTTCCACGCCAGGTCTGGCCATGGAGCTGCGCTCGGAGCTGCCCACCGTGCCGGGCGCGGCGACGGCGGCGGCGACAGCGACGGGGCCGCCCGTGGCGTCGGTGGCGTCGGTGGCGGCGGCTGCAGCCGCCGCCGCATCTCTACCGGTGAGCGTGGCGGGCGGCTTGCTGAGGGCGCCGCCACTCTTGTTGCGGGCTGCGGAGAAGTACCCGAGGACGCCCAAGTGCGCGCGCTGCCGCAACCACGGAGTGGTGTCGGCCCTCAAGGGCCACAAGCGCTACTGCCGCTGGAAGGACTGTCTGTGCGCCAAGTGCACGCTCATCGCCGAGCGCCAGCGCGTCATGGCCGCACAGGTGGCGCTGCGCAGGCAGCAGGCGCAGGAGGAGAACGAGGCGCGCGAGCTGCAGCTGCTCTACGGCACGGCCGAGGGCCTGGCACTGGCGGCGGCCAACGGCATCATCCCGCCACGACCCGCCTACGAGGTCTTCGGCTCTGTGTGCGCAGCCGACGGCGGGGCACCGGGAGCTGGGACGCCCGCGGGGACCGGAGGAGGCTCAGCGGGCGCCGGGGGCTCAGGTGAGAGCGAAGCGGGCCTGGCAGAGCAGGGAACAGGAACGCGCGGCCCCCGGTCCCGTGCCCCTCCCCCATATCTTTGCACTGAAGAGTTGGGTCCCTGGATCCCGACGCTCCACGGTTGGAGCTCTGATTTGGTGCAGAAACGTCCCAACTGGCATGTCTCGCGGTTCAGGAACGTTGGCACGTTCCTTCTCACCCACCAACACCCAACGACTCATCTCCCTCTCCTCGACCTCGACAAACAGCTACTCTGCACACTGTCCCCAGTGAGGAAACCCCCACGCCCGGGCTTCCCCCCACCCCTGCTTCCCCCACAAAAGAACCAGGTTTCATTCGATCTCCCCAGCTCTCCCAACCTCTTCCACGCCCACCCTTCTCTCCCCGCATGACTTCTTGCTTCTTTCCCGCAGTGTTCCTATTTTTCTCACAGTCCTGAGCTCCCGGCCTACTAAGGCTGCGCCTGGCTGCTACTTTCCAGCTTCTTCACCCCACCCCCACCCAGCCTCATTTTCTTCTGTACCCCCTAGCCTGTTTGCACGCTTCCCCCCCCCCTTACCTGCCGGGCCCCACCCTCTTCGCCCTCTTTGGCGGCTTCCCGTGACTGTTACTGGGGCAGCTGGAAGCCAGACTGGGCCCTGTTACATTCCAGCTCGGGAGAGGACAATTTAGGTCTTAATATCTGAAAAGTTGGGTTAGAAATAGCATCGGTTCTACTCCTGACTGTGGGGAGTGGGGTTTGGTTTCGCAGTGCCCAGTGAGTTCTCCCAGGCAGGCCCAGGACAGAGAGGGCCAGCTTGGCTCTTGGAATCACAAGGTCTTGGAATCCCAAGAACTTTTCATGGTGAAGGTGAAAGTTATGTTGGTTGTTGAACCTGGGGCCAACTCCCTCCTCCAGCATAAGGCTGGTAAAGGGAGGTGAAGGGCCACAGATCACAGATTTAGGAAGGGAGGCACAGGTGATCTGGGTCATGGGGGGGGGGGAGAGAGAGAGAGAGAGAGAGAGAGAGAGAGAGAGAGAGAGAGAGAGAGAGAGAGAGAGTTGGGTGCATGGAAGGAGAGAACTGCAAGGTCCCATGAGAGGAAGGAATATGCGGGGCAGAAAGAAAGAGGGGCTCGGGCTTAGAGGAGAAGGGAACTGATCCAAAGGTCGGGGACGCTGTGGGTGTGGCTGTTCCGCACTAGCATTAGCCCTTCTCACCTCCCCTTTCTTCCCTTCCAGAGGCAAAGTTACAGAAGTTCGACCTGTTCCCCAAGACGCTGCTCCAGGCCGGCCGCCCCGGCAGCCCGCAGCCTCAGGGAAAGCCCTTATCGCCCGACGGCGCGGACTCGGGCCCTGGGACGTCGTCCCCGGAGGTACGGCCCGGCTCCGGCTCGGAGAACGGCGACGGAGAATCCTTTTCGGGGTCGCCTCTCGCCCGGGCGCCCAAGGAGGCAGGCGGCAGTTGCCCGGGCAGCGCCGGCCCGGGCGGCGGCGAGGAGGACAGCCGGGGCTCTGCCAGCCCGTTGGGCTCCGACTCCGGCTCCGAGGCTGACAAAGAGGAGACAGAGGTCGTGCCGACGCCGGGGCTGGGCGGGGGCCCGGGGCCGCGGCAGCGGACGCCGCTGGACATCTTGACGCGCGTCTTCCCGGGCCACCGGCGGGGCGTGCTGGAGCTGGTGCTGCAGGGCTGCGGTGGCGACGTGGTGCAGGCCATCGAGCAGGTGCTGAACCACCACCGCGGGGGCCTGGCGGCCGGCCTGGGCCCCATCGCGCCCCCGGAGAAGGCGGCGGTGGGCGCCGTGGCGGCCGCGGACGACGCCTGGCCGAGCCGCGTAGACGCGGCCGCGAGCGGGGGCCCCGCGCTGCCCGGGCCGCTGCAAGCGGGCCCCGCCGCGCCGCCGCACCACAGACCTTTGCTGGCCGGAGCCATGGCGCCCGGGGCGCTGGGCTCGCTGGGCAGCCGCTCGGCCTTCTCGCCCCTGCAGCCCAACGCCAGCCACTTCGGCGCCGACGCCGGGGCCTACCCGCTGGGGGCGCCGCTGGGCCTCAGCCCCCTGCGCCTGGCCTACTCGGCGGCGGCGGCGCACAGCCGCGGCCTGGCCTTCATGGCCCCCTACTCCACGGCCGGCCTGGTGCCCACGCTCGGCTTCCGGCCGCCCATGGACTACGCCTTCAGCGACCTGATGCGCGACCGCTCGGCCGCCGCCGCCGCCGTGCACAAGGAGCCCACCTACGGCGGCGGCCTCTACGGGCCGATGGTCAACGGGGCCCCCGAGAAGCAGTAGGCCGCGGAATCCGGCCGCCGGACGCCCCCCGCGGAGGTCCCAGCCCCGCGCCCTCCGGCCGCCGCCCCGCTGCGTCCCCCGCGCCCGCTTCGCCTCGGCGGGGCGCTTCTCGCGCCGAGGTCCCTGACGTTTTTGGTTTGGCGGGGCCCGAGGAGCAAGTGGGAGCAGTGACAGGTGCAGGGGTTCTTGAACCTCACCCCCTTCCCCAGCCTGCCCTCCTCCTAGAGACCTCAGCCCTTCCGAGGGCCGGGAGTTCGGGAGACTTTGGAGGCGGGGCGCTGCGCACGCCCCCTCCCCCCGTCTGCTCTCTGCGCCCCACTCCTCCCCGCAACCCCCCAAAGCCTGCCGAGCTCGCAGGAGGATCGGGAGAGTCCTAGAGTTTGGCTTCGGTGTCGTCCCTCCCTTCTTATTTTTGTTTTGAAATATTTGCTCTAACAAATATAAATTTAGGATGTATAAATCTCTTGGCACTGAGTCGAGCCTTTGGGACACAACATATATATCGATATCAAGTGTGAAAAAAAGGAAGCAAGTTCTAAGGTGCACTTTCCTCGTTGCGGTATTTGTTGCTCTCTTTGTTGCTTATGCCGATAAGCATGGGTTTCCTTGGTGCAGTGTGTTTTTATATATGTATAAATCTATATATAATCTATACATATATATATACAAGCCAGTGTATAATGTTATAAAATGGAATTCTAAGTTATTAATTGTAACCTGTAGGTGACCTCCGTATTAACGTGAAAAATATTCAAAAACAAGCAAAAAAAAGGACAAAATGGGAAAAAAATTAGACTATGCGCGCATTGTACTTATCAGGTTTGATAGAGAAAATATATCGTCAATTCGGCCCGCTCCCGCCCACCGCCCCTCCTGCCTGCAGCTGGCCTCTGCCGGGCCGCCGAGGCGCGCGCGGACGCAGAAACTGAGCGAGCGGCTGCCCTCCCGGGACGCGCCCAGGCCGGAGTGGGGTGCGCGGCCCAGAACGACTCCCTTTGTGCTTTCCTTTGCATAGACATGAACTAGAAATAAATGTTATTTTCTAAGAAAACACAATCCGGTCCCGCTTCTCGGTGGAAAAGGTGTAGCTTTCTCGCTGGGGCTGTAGTCTCGCTGGCACGCGACTTGACCGCGGTCTAGCGGGTGGTCGAACCCTCCGGGGCGCGATGCGACTAGCCTCGCTGCGGCACTTGGAGAGTTCGGAGGGCGCGTAGCTGGAGAGCCTTGGGCACCTTTGGAACGCGGTGTGCGCCCCACGCCGCCGGCGGGCGGCGGGCTTTCTGCTTGTCCGCACTTCGGGCAGCTTCTCCGTGCGCCCGTCGAGGCGGCAGGCCTGGGCTCTGTGCTACGCGGGCGCAGGTTGGGGCTTAACCTGGTGGCACCCCTCACCCAGAACCCGGAGCTTCCTTTCTTGGAGAAGTTGGTGTGGGCTGGGGAAGGTGGAGGAAGGTGGGGCGGCGGAGGGGCGCTGCGGGGAGAGTGGGAGACGCGCCGCGAGGACCCCCTGACCTCCGCACCGCCGTGGCCCCACAGACTCCCCCGCCAACCACCCACCCCCTCTAGGCGACCCGCTCTCCAGGAAATGGGGAGCCCCTTCCCCTAGACGGGGCCCGGCGACATCCCAAGGTAAACTTCTGGGGCCGGCTCTAGTTCCGCCAGGCGGTGAAACTTAATAGCAGGACAAGAAAAACGGTTTAATAAAGAAGGCTTTAATAGGGAACTAATTTGATTGAGTTGCCTAATTCCACTTTAATTGGAAAGGGGTGTTTGGCTGGTTATAAAGTGCGAGGGTGACGACAAACTGGAAGTGGGGGGTTGGGGGAAGAAGAAGCGGGAGCAGTTCTGGGGGAGAGAGAGATATGAGAGAGAGAGAGAGAGAGAGAGAGAGAGAGAGAGAGAGAGAGAGAGAGAGAGAGAGAGAGAGAGAGAGAGAGAGAGGAGAGAGAGAAGAGGTGATGAGGACGGGGAAGGGAAGACGTGGGAGAGAAGGTCGGGAGGGAAGTTATTCACAAGAGAACAGGCGCGGAAAACGCCCCGCAGCTTCTGGAAGCAAGAACTTAGCGATCCCGCGCCGCCACGCTTCCTCCTCCAGCACCCACCTCCCGGTCCAGGTGGCCAGGCGTGGGGTGCCCTCTCGCCGGCTTCCAGAGACCCATCTCCACCCAAGGGGACGCATAGAGCGTCTGAGTCTCTTGGTTTCTGGGTAGCACCTACTCTGGTTCTCCCGCTCCGCAATCTCTCCCTCTGCGCAGTCCCACCCGAGGCTCGGCGACCTGCGCCACCGTCGCCCACTCTGAACTTCTGGGTTTCGTGGATGATAATAGTCCACGCTCACAGTTAAGCCCGGAGAACCCAGCGAGTTGTTTACCATTTACCAAGGCGGAAACTGAGGTGCAGGCACTTGCCCAAGCCTTGGGGACCTTGGGTCCCTTCTCCGTTCTAGAGCTCACTCCTCTCACGAAGCGCTCTCCGTTGGCCCAAGTTGCGGGGTGGGGTAGTGGCGGGGAAACCCCCTTCCTGTGTAACACCCGACTTCCCGAGAGGAGAGGGGCCGGCCTTAAGCACCGAGACAGGTCGCGGCTGCAGTGCAGAGCTTCCAGCACCTTCGCTCGAGATCAGCATGACTCGTTGTTCACTAAGTTCAAGGAGACAGTGCTCTCGACCTGCCAGTTTCCTCTTGTTCCCGCCAGAGCTCCTGGGCGGTCTAGGCTCGGGGTGGAAACCCGGGGTGGTCAGTCGCATCCCCGGCGCCTGGCTGGTTCTGCACCCTCGCTCACACTCCGACCCCGCTGCCCGTGCGCTGGAGAAGACTGAGGCTGCAAATCCGACGGCGACGGCCAGCGCGGATCGGAGCCCAGAACGCGGGGCCCAGCCGGGGTGCTAAGTGCCTGTGGCGGAACTGGGTGGGGGCGGGTGCTGAGTGAGTACATCTGGCTCCGGGAGCTGAGCTCTGCGGGGGTCCGCGCTCCGGTGGGGCACAGGGTTCTGGTGTCTCAGCTGAGTTTACGTCCCCGACCCTGAAAACTCCGGTCGTGGGTTGGAGCATCTCCCGCTTTTGCTGTGGGAAGGCGGAGATGGCAAGGGACTTCCCTTCTTGACCTTTACAGTTCCTGCAAATTCCCAAACTCTCCTCGAAGTTGGCCTTCGCTGTCAGGGAGACGCAGTCGATAGTGGGGGGGGGGGGGGGAAGGGGGAGGGAGGATTGTTCACCGCTCAAGAAGTAATTTTCAGTATATTTTAAAATTTAATTATGTAATTAAACAAGTCAATAATTTCCACATGATTGCATAATTTATAATATTTAATTTATACACTAGTATAATCATTCTGTATTTCTGAATAATTTAGGTTTTTTTTAAAAATTGTCATTCTCCTCCTTATGAGCCAGAGCGATAGCATAACGGGTAGGCTGTTTGCCTTGCATCAGCCGACCTGGGTTGGATTCCTCCGCCCCTCTCAGAGAGCATGACAAGCTACTGAGAGTATTCTGCCCACAGGGCAGAGCCTGGCAAGCTCCCGGAGATGTATTTGATATGCCAAAAACAGTAACAACAAGCCTCACAATGGAGACGTTACTGGTGCCCGCTCGAGCAAATCGATGAACAAGGGGAGGACAGTGCTACAGTGCTACAATGCTCCTCCTCATAGGCCAATCCCAGCAGTTGTCTGCTTACTGGAAGGCAGGTGTGTGTCAAGCACCTCTGCCTAGGATCCTCCTTAGTGCCTGAGCTAATGGAGAGCTGAGACCCAGGCTTCTCAATGGATGGTTGATTCATTCACAGAGCACTTTAGTAAGAAGCATCTATTAAGCACTTTTTGTATGCTCCCTGCTCTCCTAGGACCTTAGGGTCCACAAGAGGGCAGCACATGTGTCACTCTTGTCCTGAGAACCAGTTTTCTTCAGCTGAAGAGACCAAGAGAGAAGAAGCAGGCGGGGCTCCGCCTGGTGCACCCCAGTGTTCTGCTTGGGGAGAGGCCAATTAGGTAGGCCCTTCACCTCACTTTCCTTCTCAAGAACATAGGGCATATGGGAGCAGCTAGGCTCTGAGAGCTGCTAGAATTGAATCATGGGTAGCACAGTGCCTTCTCTAGGCACCCCTACTTACACCTCTCAGATGCCTGGATGTAGGATCACCACAGTTCTGGGAGGAGTAAACAACTCAAAGAAACTCAGTAGAGATAGTTCCACTTGCAGATCTTCTGGAGTGCCCCAGGCTGAAGGATAGCTAGAGAGTTTGGGGAAGAGTTATCACACGGGTACATTTTGAGAGGGGTAGTGAAGGAATGAGGGGAGAGCAGATGGAGGTCAGTGATCAGAGGTCAGAATGTGAATGACCCAGATGCCATACTGGGAGAGTACCAGAAGTCACTGACAGCCATGCCTGATGAGATCCACATTTGGACCATGTGAACCATGTGGACTATGTGTGGGCTCCTCCCCTCTGAGGAATCATGAGAGATAGTAGCATCTGAAAAATATCTGTGGGGATAGATCCCAGTTAGTACGGTGGGTAGGGACTTATTTGCACACAGCCAAGTTATGTTCTATGCTTGGCACCTTAAGGTCCCCTGAGCACCAGGAGAAGTGATTCCCTGAACACAGAGCCAAGAATAAGCCCTGAGCTCCATTGGGAGTAACCCCAAGATGAAAATTATTTAATTAATTTAAAAGATTCATAAAAGCAGGAGAAAAGAGGCAGACTTATGAGCAGCAGGAATCCAGATTCAATGTAGGAGGAAGCCAGGAGGACTTGAGGCTGATTCCTACAATCTGGGCTAGATGAGTCACTGGAGGTTACAGAACTGTGGAACCCTGGAGCGGAGATATAGTTGGAAGGTGAGGGGAGAAGCTTAATATTCAAAATACAGAGTTGAGCTTATCAAAGCCACTGAGTGAGGGCACCAAATGGAATAGGAGTTAGCATGTGGGTGGCCACAGGCCCTTGGGAAGGATAAAGTGGCCCAGCACATTCCTTCCCACCACAGGGCAGGACTTCAGCGGAGGCCATGTGCCTTGAGAC